GTGGCCCCTAGAGAAAAAGCACATACAAACTCCAAAACACTTACAAATGCCAAAACACATGCAAACTCCAAATTTCTGAAATAGTAATCCCTTAGTTTACTCGTTACTTGGAAAAAAAAGTAATCGGATTACAGGTAGCAGGAAATTCTAAAGAACAATAATTAAATATAAACCCAAGCACCAACAGTTCATGTACTTGATGTTCCTAGACTATTTAATAGTAGAATGGGAGGGAGAGCCTTCAGTTTTCAGGCCCTACTTCTGTGGAACCAGCTTTGGAAGCTGGTTCCAAACTTTCAAGATTAAGCTTAAAATTTTCCTTTTTGGTAAAGCATATAGTGCACAGCATGTCTTTATCATGTTTTCCTTCTCTCACGCCAACCGGTCCCAGGAGATGGCCCCGCCCCTCCCTGAGCCTGGTTCTGTTAAAGGTTTCTTCCTGTTAAAAGGGAACTTTTCCTTCCCACTGTCGCCAAATTGCTTGCTCATAGGGGGTCATATGATTGTTGTTTTTCTCTGTATCTATTTTGTACAATATAAAGCACCTTGAGGCAACTGTTGTTGTGATTTGGTGCTATATAAATAAAATTGAATTGAATGTTTTACTAAATGTTCATAACAGTTTCATTCCTCCAATTTAAAAAAAAATAACTCCATACATACTGGTTCAGTGTTTAATATATTCGTGGCTCATTTGTCCAGCAGCTTAAGTTTACAGTGGCTTGCAAAAGTATTCGGCCCCCTTGAACTTTTCCACATTTTGTCACATTACAGCCACAAACATGAATCAATTTTATTGGAATTCCACGTGAAAGACCAACACAAAGTGGTGCACACGTGAGAAGTGGAACAAAAAGCATACATGATTCCAAACATTTTTTTACAAATAAATAACTGCAAAGTGGGGTGTGCGTAACTATTCAGCCCCCTGAGTCAATACTTTGTAGAGCCACCTTTTGCTGCAATTACAGCTGCCACAGATAGGTCTGACTATCTCCAACATATACGGAGTTACAATAGTCCAGCTGGGATGTAATGGAAGCATGTATCACCTGTTCAAAGTTTTTAGAATATAAAAATGATTTCACCTTGGATAAAAGCCTCAGTTTGAAAAAGCATCTGAGCTAATCTGTTTTTCAAAGGTGAAATTGCTGTCAAATATAGCCCACAAATCTTTGCCATTCGACTTAATAAAAGGCTCAAGACTGTGTAGATTAAAATGAGATGTGCTGGGATTACCACTTGGTTCAAACACCATCACTTCGGTTTTCTTCTCATAAACATCAAGGAAGTTAGAGGCCATCCAGACTTTAACTTCATCAACAGACTAAAGGAAAGGTAAAAGTGGAGCAGAACAGCTTCTCTTCAGTTGAAGAGAAATCTGAATGTCATCGATGTATGAATGGAAACAAGCATGTAAACGCAGAATAAAATTGGCCCCAATATAGATCCCTGAGGAACACAGCAAGTACAGGGAGTTAAGGAAGACATAAAATCTCCAAAACCCACTGTTTGACAACTATAACATGACCTGAATGTGTCATTATTTTTTTTAGCTCTAGACTGTGAAGACCAATAAAGGTTCTCCATTCACTTAAACAGTCAGATCCAAAGTGTGATGAAAAAAACGTGATCTTTTTGGAAACATTACTGTCGTATATAATACCTGTAAAAGGTTTGGACACACCTTTTTTTATTTAATGTTGTTTTCTTTATTTCCACGACGTTTACATTGAAGATTCTTACTGAAGGCATCAAAACTACAAATAAACACATATGGACACGTATGTACTAAAGACAGCACAGAAGCATGTTGGTTAGCATAGTTCCACTATCAGGCCAGGGACTTTCTGTGTGGTTTCTATGTTCTCTCCGGGTATTCCTGCTTCCTCCCACATTTCCAAGAGTCAAAAAGTTAGTGGGGTTAGGTTAATTAGTAATTGTATATTTTCACATGAATAAGAATGGTTGTCTGTCTATGTGTCAGACTGTCAACCTGTCCAGGGTGTACCCTGCCCCTCACCCTAAGACAGCTGGGATAGGCTCCAGATCTTCTGACTAGGATAAGCAGGAGAGGATGGATGGACAAAATAGTGTGAAATAACTTAAAAAATGTTTTATATTTTATATTCTTGAAAATAGCTGCCTTTTGCTTTGATTACTGCTTTGCACTAGTAAAATAATTATAAAAAATAAATGTCAGGGGCTGGGTCTGTGACCCTGCGTTTTCATTTGTTTTCTGATCTTCTTTGTTATATTTGGAACATAATGTTAAGTTCTAGGTTCATTATTTAGTTGCCTCAAGTTTAATCTATTTGTGTTTCACTTACATCTTCTGGTTAGTCTCATGTATTTCTTGTCTTTGATTTCAGGTTGTCAGGTGTGTATTATCATGTCTTCATCTCATGTTTCCTGTTTTATTTTGAAGGTTTGTGTCCTATGTCAGAGCAGTTGGCGTCGCTTACTTTGTCTCGTTATGTCAGATTAGTGTCAGCTGTTTCCCCATGTGTATCCACTTCCCCTAACCACCCTTGTGTGTATTTAGTCTGTGTGTTTCTGTTCGTTCATTGTCAGGTTGTCTGTTGTTCTTGTCATGTTTCCATGCTTCTGTGTCTCCAGGGTTTTCCAAGTACAGGTTTTTGCCACGTTCAAGGTTTTGTTCTTCATCTTTTGTGTTTCACATTTATTTTCTCCCAGTTCGGTTCTAGTTAGTTTCTTCCTAGTGTATATGCTTTTTGTTCTTGTACCTTTCTTATCAGTCATATTAAACGGCTTGCATTTTGTTATATTCAAGTTTTCTTCTCGTTCCTTCGTGTCTGCATTTCAGATCCGATCCTCAAATTTATACAGTCAGCTTCGCAGCCAGACTGTGACAATAAATCCCCAACGGTATCACCAGCAAAGCACCATCACACCTCCTCCATGCTTCATGGTGGGAACCATGCATGTAGAAACCATCCGTTCTCCTTTTCTGCATCACACAAAGACACGTCAGGTGGAACCAAAGATTTCATCAGACTGAAGCACAGATTTCCACTGGTCTAATGTCCATTTTTTGTGTTTCTTGGCGCAAACAAATCTCTTCTGCATTTTGCTTTTCCTTAGTTGTGGTTTTGTAGCAGCTATTTGACCAGAAAGGCCTGATTCACACACACACTCCTATGAACGGTTGATGTAAAGATGTGTCTGCTACTGGAACTCTGTGTGGCATTTATCTGGGCTCTAATCTGAGGTGCTGTTAACCTGCAATTTCTGAGGCTGATGACTTGGATGAATTTATCCTCAGCCGCAGAGGTGACTCTTGGTCTTCCTTTTCTGGGGTGGTCTTTACGTGAGACAGTTTCGTCATAGCTCTCGATGGTATTTTTTTACAAAGTCTACTTTCAAGGAGAATGTGAAACAGGCAGAAATGTTCAGCTCTGACTCCCTCCTGTTCTCTAGTTTCTACTTTCAATAGAGAAAGTGGAAATGTTTATATAACTTGATTCTAATCTGCCGCTGAGTCTCTTTCACACTGCTGGAAACACAAAGCACAGACCACAAATACCTGTTCAACCAATTACATTTATTTCACTTTGATCTGCCACAAACAGCAGCGATAGGAGCTGATAGTGGACTTCAGCACTAAGCAGGAGAGGAACTACCAGACCCCCGTCATCAACGAGTGCCCAGTGGAGAGAGTGGACAGCTTCAAATACCTCGGAGTTCACATCACGCAGGACCTGTCATGGTCCTGTCACATCAACACCGTGGTGAAAAAGGCCCGTCAGCGTCTCTACCACCTCAGACGCTTGAGAGACTTCCAACTGCCCTCCAAGGTGCTCAGGAACTTTTACTCCTGCACCATAGAGAGCATCCTGACGGGAAACATCTTAACCTGGTTCAGGAACAGCACCATGCAGGACAGACGAGCTCTACAGAGGGTTGTGCGGTCAGCTGAGCGCACCATCCGCTCCGAGCTCCCTGACCTGCACTCAATCTACAGCAGGCGGTGCTGGACCAAGGCCAGGAAGATGGTGAAGGACCTCAGCCATCCCAACAACAGACTGTTCTCTCTGTTGAGGTCAGGAAAGCGATTCCGCTCCCTGAAGACCAACACAGAGAGACTGAGGAGGAGCTTCTTCCCGCAGGCGATACGGCCTCTTAATCACACCACCACACAGTACTGACCCACACATACAGTTCTTACACACACACTGGACTTTCTGGACATTGTTTTCACTTCATTACTTAAATCACGCTGCTGTTATTGTGTATATATTTATTTATACTTCTTCATACATTCTTATATAGTTCTATATTGTGTATTTTGTTGTACAGTTATTTTATTTTCAACTTTAATTTATATATTTTATGTTATTTCATTTTTAACCTTAATTTATATTTTATTCCTTCCTAGTTAAATTTACCCTTTTTAATTTTTCATATTTATTTCCTATCTTATTCATAGCCTTTTCCTTTTTTGTTTTCTTTAGGTCACGAGCAGTTGTCCAAGCATTTCACTACATATCGTACTGTGTATGACTGTGTACGTGACAAATAAAATTTGAATTTGAATTTGAATTTGATTTCCACGTCCCCTTTATCAGGCTGTGGGACAGTAAGTTTTAATGTCTCAATGGAGTTTAAAGTTTCACAGCTCCAATGTGCAGCCGTCACCTTAGAAATAAACAGCAGCAGTGAGAGCGCACTGGGCCCTTTACTACGAAGACACAGTTTGCTGTCTTTAACAGTCTCAATGTTTTTCAGACATTAAATGTTGCTTTATAAACTATTGAGCCAATACATTCATCTTATATGGCTGAAGCATTTTCAACTTATTAGTTTGCAAAAATGATTGCTAAAGTTTACAAGGAATCATTTAACAGTTTAAAACATAAACTGATTGAATTTATGACTCTGAAAATGAGTTTGAGCAAAAGAGACAGACATGTACAGACTGAATTATCTCTTCAAGAGTCAGAGTGTTCTCTAACAGGAGTTCACTCTTTACACTCAACTTAGCACAGACTCACTGAGGAACTAGAACAGATCGAAAATCCAGGATAAAGCATTTCAGTGATTGTGGTTTTGAAGGTGTGAAGGTGGATCAGAGTGTCAGAGGAGACTCTGTAGAAGGACAGAGTACCAGCAAGACAGTCCACATACACTGCTACTCTGTTAGAGACAGAAGAGGAGGAGGAGGAGGGGATGGATGTTTCTCTCTTATCGTGACAGACAGAATGAGGACCATCATTAGAGCAGCGTAGTCTCCAGGATTGATCATTCTGTCCAAACCTACAGTCATAAGTGTCTCCTTTTCCCTCGATTCCTTTGTAACTCACTGATATATCAACTCTTCCTCTCCACTTGACCTCCCAGTAACAGCGACCAGTCAGACCATTTCTACACAGCAGCTGAGGATGAACATCAAATCTTTCTGGATGATCAGGATATGACTGAACCTCCTCCACATATGTCACCTTCCTGTTGTGGTCAGACAGTTTGAGGTTCATGTGTACTGTGTTTGTGTCGATTGTGAGTTGACAGGAATCTGATGAGAGAACAAACACAATCCAGCTGCAGTTATTGATCCATCATTTGTTCATTGATTGACACTTTGATGATGACTCCTGACATCAGAGATATGAATTAGTGATGTGACAGTTTGAAGATGGTTGAATGTGTGCTGCGTTATTTTCATGAACCACATTAAAAACACACTTACACTTCCTCAGACCTGGTGTCAACCATCGGACTCCAGCAGGCTCCAACCTGAAAGGAGGAGGGCGTCAGACAAGCACAGTCTCTTTCAGCATGCACACATGGACATTACATGGCTCGCATCCACATACTGTTAGACACTGATAAAGGAACTAGAGATGGACCGATCCGATATCACGTATCGGTATCGGTCCAATACTGACCTAAATTACTGGATCGGTTATAAATAAATATAAATAAATAAAAAATGTAATCCGATCCATTAAATATCATGAAAACACCTCACAAAACTTGCAACACAGCGTAACTTGGCTCATAACCGTAGCACGTCGGAGCAGTATGCGTCACGTGATAGAGCGGCTGCATGTATTTGGAGCTTCGCTACCAAACCAGTATTTCATCTCCGAGAAAGTTATCCCAGAGAGAAGTAAAGCAAGTGTGTAAGTTCATCTATGAATGTTTGTAAAGCGTTCCCATGTTAAGCTTAACAACCGATATATGGAGCGACTGCCCCTCTCTTCCTTCCTGCTGCTACTTCAATCGTGAAATTGCTTAATGATCAGCTGATCGGCTTTTCTGTCGCGAGTCAGTCTCTCTTCTTTGCTTTTGGCCCACTTTGCACCAGAAAGAGGAAACCAGCGGCTGAACAACAGCAGCACGTTTAAGCTTGATAAGCTGTTGTTAGAATTTATTTAATATTACTACACCAGAATCTTTTTCTACATAGCTGACGCCTGGTAACTGTGCAGGGGTGGATGTAGCAAAGTTTAGCCAAGGGGGCTGATGGGGCATGAACAGGGAAAAGGGGGCACAAAGACATACTTTTCTTTCTTATTCTCATTTAAAATGTCTAGCTTTAGATAAATAATTATCTGAATCTTACACCCATTTTACATCTGATGTAAAATGTATAGAAGTCCATTACTGTGTATAGTAACTGTTAAGTCTAATATACCCTAGTAAGCTATAGTACTTTTTCCTTTGGGAAAGTACCATCTGTGAATTCTGCAATTCTGTTGAAGAAAGATGTTGAATCTATTTAATTATTGTGGAAAAATAATTTATTTCTGTGCATTTTTTTTCACACATCAAATTAAATTTGATTACATCGATTAAGCAACATGAGGTGGGGGGTGGTTCCCTATTTTTTTTTTTGCTGGGAGTTTGCAACCCCATTAGTTATGTTGCTTAATATTTCTGCTAAGTACTCTTTAAAATACCAGAATATGGAGGATGGTGCAGGTTTAAGTTTATTAGATTGATCAGTGTTGCTGAACTATGAAATATTTTGTGCACAGTGCATTTTTTTACATACAGGTTTAATAGAATAGCTTTATTGTTGTTGTTTATTTAAACTTAAGTATGAACTTATACAAAATGCAGCAAGATATAAAAAAAACAGTATTTATTAAAAAACGCACTATATCGGATTCATATCGGTATCAGCAGATATCCAAATTCATGATATAGGTATCGGTATCATAACAAAGTGGTATCGTGCCATCTCTAAAAGGAACAGTCCAACATTTTCTCTACATAGAACCCCAAAACAATGTGTGAGACAGTAAAATGTTCGCCTATCAATTTTTGCTCCCATTGAAAAGCTTCTCATTTTTGTACTTGGATTTTAATATTTTCAAATGTAGTTTCAATTCAAAATATTTTAAGAAGTATGATACATTTCTAGGCATTTATACTTCACATAAGTATGAACCAAATCTGAAACAACAATTTATTATGAAATTTAATGATTTGTTGTATACTAAAGTAATGGAATTCATCTTCAAAGAAAAATCCATGTTACTCAAGTGTGTTGAACAAGTTTGTTCAATAATAGTTTTATTTAATCACGTTTTTACAGTTCAGGAGATTAGATCATATTTGAGATATTTGAGGGTGGGTTACATGTGAGCTCATCTGTTTGAACATGAATAATATTACAAAAATTCAAAAAATTTCAGCTGTTCTTAAATTTGTGGTCAGAAGCTTACATGCATTTATTATAAGCATGAATTTCGTGGTAATTTGGAGCTTTCGAAGGTTACTTGAAAGGTTATCCCCACTGTCAGCGTCAACCCACATATTTTAGCCTGAGTCTCACCAGGCTAAGACCGCTCAAATAAAAAATAAGGCAGTGACATCATTTTAGAGAAACAGGGCCTCATTTATCTTTGGTTATGCAATATGCTGAAGAACAATCCCTACATAGCAAGCAGGTCTGGCCCGGATCTGGTATCAAGCCGGCACTGCTGACTGACTTCTGGCACGGTAAGTGGTATGTCATCCAGATATGGGCCAGGCCTGGCATAGATGGCACTGTCTATGTGATGGCATATGTTTTGGGTTATGTTGCCCAGGCTCATAGAAAAGATGTCTGGCCAGATGTGGCATTAAGCTGTCACTTCTGACTGACTGACTGACTAGTGTCATGGCAGACTGTATGGCAGCCAGATGTGGGCCAGATCTGTTTATGCGATGGCATGCCATATCTGTCCCGATTGTGGTTTTGGTTGATGTGGCACTCAGTTCAAAGAAAGTGTTTGATTGCATGAATGTATAGAGCATTTTGAGTAATCCGGGAAAGTAGAGGAGCGCTATATAAGAATCAGTCCATTCACTGTCTGAACAGAGTTTCCTTTGCCAGAGTTAATCCACACATGGGCCAGCACAGGACCACCAGTGTGTCTGCAACTGGCCTTGTGCTGGCTCATGTGTGGGCCACCTCTGGAAAACCAGATCTGGGCCACCAAAGGGCAGTCATTCTTTGCGGTGTGTGGGCCATACCAATTTTGCTATGTGGGATATGTTTGTCAGCCACAGGGCCACCATGACAATACATTGTGATTTTTAGTTAAGTTGGAGTTGAGACTGGAGAGTGTCAGAGTGCAGCTGAAAAGCTGCATGCTTGGGTGCCAAGCCAGAAAACAATGAAGAGGCTGCAAGTAGTGTGTGTCATGGCAATCAAAGTGGAAAATAAACATGGACAGTGTTTCCACTTGATGACGTGGCTGCTGCATATTACATGGTGGCAATGAACAATAATCAGGCTGTGGTGCAGCAGAAGCACCTGGCAAAACTGCAGGCGCATGTGACTGGCAGTAGCAGAAGTGGCTACAGCATCACCATCCCCCATCCACTGTCGGTGTCGCTGCACAGGATAGGGGAGGGAGATGACTCCCAGGTCTTCCTGGAGACCTTTAAGGCCACTGCTGAGGTGTGTCAGCGGCAGAGTGGGCACCACAACTGTTGCCACTGCTGTCAGGGAAGCCCCAGATGGTGGCCCTGAATCTGCCACCGTGTCTGCTACTGAGCTCTAAGTAAGATCTTCTATAAGTAAGATCTGCATTATGCAGCGGTGAGGTGGCAAGAGCCCGGGCAGTCAGAGAATGAGGCCCGCATGAATGTGTCTTTAGTACATTTTTATGCAGAGATTAATTTGATATGAATCAGGGTGAGACAGAGAAAAATAATTTAGCAGTGCATTGTTAAAGATAAAGCAATCTATCCAAATGGTGAAAAAAATATGAGCAAAAGACATTTATTATTGTTCCTGGAAAAGTTCTCCTCGGAAATTGCTACATATTTATCTCTTCATTGTTCAACTAGACTACAGTTTATGCTGTGAACAAAGAAAAACTGTTCCTACATGTGTGATTGTTCATGTTACATCTGCATGAAACAAACAGAAAGTGAATGAAGAATGTAGGAAATCCCAAAAAGTTGATTCTGTACATCTGAACGTAGTGTTGTTGGTGGGAGAAAATGTTTGTCACTCATTCAAGTAACTTCTTCAGTAACTGCAGGTTTCCACAAACTTATAAACAGTACATTTGCACAATAACTGAAACTAGCACCATTGAATGAACAATGGGCTATAAGGTCAGTTCCATTATCATTATTATGCAAATTATCATGACTATTGATCAACAACCATTGATCAGTAATCAATGGCTATGAGTACCATTCCCAGAGAGTTGGGGAATGGCTGCAATCACAGCTTTCTAAGATGGTGAAAGATGTACTCTTAGGTCCCCTCCTCAATTCAGAGAAGGGCTTTCCCTTTGCACTTGAAATGTATGCAGCTCTTCCTTCTCAAACAGACATTCTCTCCATACCTAAGAGTGTCCAGTCTCCAGCGTGGATCCTTAAGTCCAGCCAACAGCAGCTTCATTCCTGAGGCTCCTGGATGATTGTAGCTCAGGTCCAACTCTCTCAGATGGGAAGGGTTGGAGCTCAGAGCTGAGGCCAGAGAAGTACAGCCTTCCTCTGTGATCAGACAGCCTGACAAACTGCAGACACACAAAACAACAACCATCTGTAACCAATGACTTTCTGTTTGTTAGAAACAATAACATCTAACCATCTGTTTGATTTTATTTAACTGTACTTACAACTAAAAAGAAAAAAGAATTAGGCAGTGCAAGTTAACTTACTGTACAATATAACTTGCTATGAAATATAAGCAAGAAAGCCCCATCAATAAGACCATCAGTGTGAGGAGCACTTTGTAGCATTGGGGATCAAGACTAGCCATTTAACATGGCTGTTTGGGTGGGAGGTGGGCACAGGGGGATGTGCACGAAGAGAAAAGAACAAAAGACAAACTGTGGACAGAGAGGACAAAAGTTAAGGATATGCATATAAAAAGCATTACGAGTGAAAACAGAAAAAATGCTCAGAGTATCATAGCAAATCTATGAATAGCCCGAGCCTATAAGGAGAATAATGGATAAGCTAGCTGCTTCTCATAATACAAAATATAAATGAATCAGTCTTTAATTTCTGAGATCTGTTTGACTTCAGCACTCAACGTCCCACCATAACCCATGGAGAAAATTAGGCACCTGAACATGAAGCGGATGAAGGTGGAATATTGTGAGGATTGATAAAGATGATGATGAAGATGTGAATCCAGGAGGAGTGGGTGGATGGTAGCATCACCATGCAGGATCAGTGTGAGAATATATCATCATCCACAAAGGAGCACCCTCCATGGAGAAGGAGACTGTAGACTAAGACTAATAACAGACGTGGAAAACACCAGCTACTGGTAGACCGTGCAGTCAAACGAGACTGCAAGACCAGGCTGACCAAACTGTGAACTACATGATTTGATTACAAGAAGGCCTATGACTCAATGCTTCATACCTGGATCCTATAATGCCTAGACCTATACAAGACCAACAGGACCTAAGAGCCTTCATCATGAACTCAATGGGAATGTGGCAGACAACAATCCGTCCCTGCTGCTGTTCTACATAGGCCTGAACCCCCTCAGTAAGATCATTGACAAGACTGGCTACGGATACTGACTGCAGAATGGAGCAGTTGTCTGCCAAGAGTGGATGAGACATCAATTCACTGATCCATATTAAAAAGGATATACAGAAATGACATTGGAATGTCGTTCAGACTGGAGAAATGTAGTCCGATGATAACAAAGAGACGTAAGGTAGTCAGAACTGAGGGGATTTAACTACCAGAAGGCAAAATTGCAGATAAAGAGGACAGTTGCAAGTACCTGGGGATCCCACAGGCAAATGGGAACTATGAAGAGGCTGCTACCAACAAGTACCTGCAGAGAGTAAGGCAAGTCCTGAGGAGTCAGGTGAACGTTAAGAACAATATACGGGCTATCAACACCTACGCATGATCAGGTACCCTGCTAGGATAATAAGGTAGCCAAAGGAAACAATAGAAACAACTGCATGCATGGAGGATTGCACCTCAAATCCACACCCTGAGGCTGTACGCTAAGCAGAAGGAAAGAGGTTGGGGATTGGTGAGTGTCAGTATTACCATCCAGGATGAGACAATGACCATTCACGAATACATCAGGAAGATTATCCCAGCTGAATGCTCAGTGAATACCTCGGGCATCAGAAACTCAAGAAAGAGGAGGAAGAGGAAGAACCATCATGGAACTACAGGCGCCTGTATGATATGGTATTTACCATGGGCAGATAGAGGAACTGACAGACATCCAGAAATCCTAACAGTGGCTGGATAAAGCTGGACTGAAAGACAGCACAGATGCACTAATCATGGCAGCACAGGAACAAGCTCTGAGTACAAGATCCATAGAGGCTGGGGTCTGTCACACTAGGCAAGATCCCAGGTGCAGGCTGTGTAAAGATGCCCCTGAGACAAGGGTCCGAGATTCTAGCAGGCCAGTAGTAATCGGAGCACTAGGAAGTGGAGATACCAGCAACAAAATTGGAGATATCTGTCGAGAAGAACACAGTCCTAGGAACAGCTAAGATACTGTGTAGAACCCGCAAGCTCCCAGGCCTCTGGTAGAGGACTGGGCTTGAAGGATAGACGGCCTGCAGGAGCAAGAGGGGATTTTTAAAAAAATATATATAGTTGCAGTGCCCTCCTGTATTTTGTGGGAGTTCTGTTCTCCCTGACCCAGTGTTTCCCATAGGCAGTGTTTTCAGGCCTAGCATGTTTTCAGTTTTCAATAAGTTTGTAGTTTTCAGTTTCTCTCTTTGCAGTTTATGTTTTAAATCGCCTGCTGTGGCTGCATGGGAGTGGTGAAGCAGCGGGTTCAGGGGACAGTGCCAGGGAAAGCTGGCTGGCACAGCGGATATCCATCACAGTAAACATGTCTTCCCTATTCCAGTTGCTGTTGTTCCAGAGGAAGAAGAGTGTGTGGTACTGAGATGACAGTTGAAAAGTTGAACACTGAAAATCTCTGAACAAAACATTGACTTGCATTGCAACACTGTGTGCATTTGGGTCCCTCTATCACACCTTCTTCCAGCCAAATAAAAGGACAACTAGGTCCTTATTTCATTTACACTCCACATAGTCTCAATAATATAAAGAAACATGGACAGTAACCAACACTTAAACATATCATTCCAACATTTTCTTAGGAATTTGGTATGTTATGGAAGCAAAACTGCACTAAATTTCAAAAAGAGCAGAAGAAATTATGAAAAAGTTCCACCATGAAAAAATATAAGACAGTAATTTAGAAGGTAATAATCCATCCAAAGGCAAAGCTGACGATCCATCTTCTATAAAGATGATCTATTGATTCAGTTATAAACATAATGTGTTCAATGATCTTTGATGGAAAATTTTTAAACTGACCTGAGAATTTCCAGTTTACAGTTTAGACTTTCCAGTCCAAGAAATAAATGCTTCACTCCTGAATCCTGCAGGTCAGAGTTACTCAGGTCCAACTCTCTCAGGCTAGAGGACTGGGAGCTGATAACCAAGGAAAGCGCTTCAGAGCTTCTCTCTGAGAAGGTGCATTGACTTAGTCTGAAAAAAATAATATGACCATTAAAAGAAATGCCCTTGTTAAATTGTAACAAGGGTGCGGTGAGGAACTATTAGATTTTTTTTTCAGAATTCTTTAATGCCCTACTTTGATAAAACAATATATAGATGGGCTTGACATTTATTGGCTAGATATTTGATTTGTTAATTAAACAAACAAATATAATTTGACCTCAACCTGACCTCAGCGTATTCATTTTACAATTTAGACTTTGCAGTCCAGTAGATAGAAGTTGCAGTCCTGAATCCTGCAGGTGGTTGATACTCAGGTCCAACTCTTTCAGACTTGAAGATTGAGAGCTGAGAACTGAAGACAAAGATTCACAGCATTTCTTGGGGAGGTTACACACACTCAGTCTGGAAATTAAAAAAAACAACATGAAAAATCAATAATTAGCAATGATTAATCCAAAATTTTAAATAATTTTATTGCCTTTTGTTTAACAGGTTGTCTTGAAATTTTATAAATAATGAAAAATAATAAGAAACTACAACAAGCACTTGATCTGACCTGAGAATTTCGAGTTTAGAGTGTCGACTATCCACTGCAGCAGACAGCTTTATTACTCCTGAATCGTTCAGGCTGTTGGTACTCAGGTCCATCTCTCTCAGACTAGATGACTGGGAGCTGAGAACTGACAACAAATCTTCACAGACTCTACCTGAGAGGTTACAGCTGCTCAATCTAAAAGCAAACAAACAAAAATAAATAAACTTAAAAATTGTGTCTGAAAAAAATAAAAACATTATAAAATAACACAATTATACCAACATAAAAACATTATAAAATAACACAATTATACCAACATAAAAACATTATAAAATAACACAATTATACCAACATATCTAAAAGGAAAACAGGGAAGATTTTAATATCTGTGTATATTCAGGCCAAAATAAGTCCTATTTGTCCCGTCTTGGACCATTTCTCTCATTTAATTCTCTATTTGAAGCAAGCAACTTGAGCTTCTTTCCTTTTAATGTCACTAGCCTTGCCAGACTAGACTGGCCAGTTTCAGGACATCTGCTGAAGGGCAGCACTCGGTCCTTAAGAACAGCACCCCTTTAGCTTCTACTTCTGAAAACAAACTTTGATCACGATTGAAAATAAAGTCGTCTCATGCTCATGCATAAATTACAGAACCCGGTTCTGGAATATGATAGTGGAAATCCACACCATCAAAAATTACAGCAAGATACATCTTTGTTTTCACATTATTACACTCATTACTAGGGCTGGGCAATATCATACCGTTCACGGTAATACCGGTATAACGATGGGCAACGATAAGAAAATGAAATATCGCGATAGAATATGGGTAAAACACGCATGCGCAGTGCCTTTGTTTTCATACGCACATGGCAGATGCTGCGATGCCGCTGCAGTTTTGGTGGTGGTGATGTGTACGGCTGGCAGTGGGAGAGCTGCAGCCGTTGAATTTACTGTTACAGAAAGGATTATTTTAAGAATAAATGATGCCACGAAGCATGAAAATGCCATTGGGTCTGGCGTGGTGGTGATCTTTTTTTTTTTTTTGAAAAATTCTAAGTGCACGCAAACCAGTAAAATAAATTAAAACACATACTGTTGATAAACTATAATACAAAAATTACAATTAAAATTCTCAACAACAAAAACTGGTAAAAATATAATTAATATGTAAACAAATTCACAGGAGCGGCAAGTCCAGCGACGTGGCTGTTTCGTCTTTGCCGAAAACGAGCAGAACTCAAAGTAAATAATCAATCTCACTAGGCTAGTATCAATCCAATACCGATGCCGACTTGGTATCGGTACTATCGATATTTGGATCGATCCGCCCACCACTACCGTATTGTGTGTATATAAGTTTTGTGGATATTATACATGGTTATGTAGAGGATATAGCCATTTCCCACTAGAAATGCCTTTTTGTTAAACTGTCAGCAAGGAATTTACATTTGCACTGTTAAATTTTTATATAACTTTAATGCACATAATAAACAGCTGCTTGTTTAAGTGAAAATACATTGGATTTTTTT